AAATGGACTAAAGTCTTCCCTCTAGCTCTCTATATCATTCGAACGACTCCAAATGCTAGGACTAGATTGGCACCCTATGAAATCCTGTTTAGACATGTACCTCCAACTTTTGCTCCGTTGATCTCTGTTCCAAATGATACTGACTTGACAAGGGAAACGGAGACTTAGGTGAAAAAGCTGCAGCAACATCTAGTGACATTGCAGCAGTACTCTGCGCAGTCCCAATCCTTACCATTGTGGGAAGCTGTTCATTCTATTTTACCAGGTGATCCTGTGTGGGTAAAAGCATATGTAAGGGGACTGTTACCCCTTACTAAAACTCTGTGGGAGTTTTTTGGTTTACCAGCTTCAGAAGGGGAAGGGTTCATGAGACTGCCAGACCCCAGAGACAATGGAAAGCAGCCAACACTCCAGCTCAGCCTGACTGACAGGTTGTAAGTGGGGATTGTTCTGGCTCTGTCTCTGAACAAACAAGCTGTGTGCAGAGGTCCTGCAAAGACAGAGCTGAAAGAGGAGTACAAGAAGAAGTCCTGCAGCGACAGAACCAGACACAGACAGGCCAAGCAGTGCAGACCCTGTGTTGAGCAGCAGACTGGCAGTGCTCAGAAAGCCAAAAGGAACAGAGAAACAACACAAGGAGCTGGAACTGGCCAAGCAGCACAGCCTGCAGCTGGATGTGGTGAGCTACTGGGACCTGCAAAGTGTGGGGAAAGGCTCTGGACTGGGAGAGGGGTCTGGCCACTTAGAGACTGAGGCTGTGTGGTCACTGCCAGTGCAAGCGTGTCCAGCCTGCAGCCCCTTGCAGCACTTCCAGGGCTTCTAAGGAAGAGACTGTGAACTGTCCTTACACTCTGCAGACTGCTGTGTTGATGTCCCTGTGCTACAGAGCAGGGCTGTGTGTTCTCATTTAACCATTCTCATTGTTTCTTATTCTATTCTCTTTAATCAGTTGATGTTTAATAAATTGTATTTGCTTTGAACCTTATGAAGTGATCACTGGGCCAAGAAGGCCTGCAGTGTAAAGAGAGCACCTCGGAGTGGGGACACCCTAACTCCTGCCCCTAGTGACTACAAGGTCAGGGATTAAGCCCCAGGAAACCTGGGCCCAGCCTTGTTGGGGTTTCAAGGGCTCTGCTACTCAGGAGAGTGGAGGGGGAGCCCTCAGGATCAGGGAGCCGTGGGGTAAAGGAAGTGGGAGCGGGGACTCAGATCCTTTCGCTGGTTCATTTCACCGGGGTGTATAGAAGCCAGGAAAGTTCCCCACAAGAGCGGGACCATTCCCCCGCTTACACATACAAGAAGACTCCGCTTCGGCCTCAGTGCTTAGGACCTTTCGAAACTCTTCTAGTGAGCCCTACTGCAATCCGGGTAAAAGAACTCCCCACTTGGATCCATCATACCAGAGTCAAGAGGAGCACCGCTAGAGAACCTGACCTGGTAAAGGGTTCCCCAGAAGCAGACGACGTCGGACTTCAAGGGAGCCACGCACGTTCACCCCACCGCAAACCGGGTGAACCAGAAGCAGACGACACCTGTGCCCGGGGCAAATGGACTGCTACCCCTTTGGGCGACCTGAAGCTTCGCCTTCAACTGAGAAAGCCTTAGACTGGTGGTGTCCTTTCCCGGAAGGATGGCCTCGTTTCCTTGCCTGGGTTCTTAAGTTTGCAATCTGTTTATTATTTGTTGTCTTTCTTTTTCAGTAGTATAGAATGTAACAGTTTCGGGCTCCAATTGGAGGATTCCCCGCTTGAATAATGATAATGAGTAAGAAGAAAATTCATATATCCATGCCACTGTAGTTATAGCTAAAGCTTTAAACTGATCCAAGCGTTAGTTATGTGGTCGAAACTCCCCGTCAACTTCCCAATCTCTATATCCTATTACAGCTGTAGAGGCAAACTACACTGATTTACGAAGCTAGGGAAGTGAAGCAGCGGATAGAGATCCTTCATGGTGCTCTTATCCCTCAGACTACCATGTAAACCTAGACAATCCTTTGACCCAAATGAAATTTTGCAAGGAATAAGCAAGAAATAAGTATAATAATCAGTCCATATTTGTTAGAATACAGTTAAACTGTAACCTTACCATCAATGCTACCCATCTAATTTTCCGTAATGGCTCTAGCTATAATGCCTCCCTAATTACTAATAAAACCTACTCCGTGTTCCTACCTTAGGACCCCACCTCAAAGAACCTCTCCAATGTGCCCTATCCTTGGTGTTTGCTTGGTCCCTTACTAAGAGGTATGCAGGGATAGAGATGGAATATAACTATATCCGGTAAAGGCCAGTTGTGTGGGAATTATGCCACTCGTTGAGATCGTAGAAGTTTTACCACCATCAGGCACACCAGACCAGGACACCTCCTGTTGTGTGGGCCTTATGGCCATACGAGCATGCCAAAGTACTGGCATGGCCGATGTGCAGTGGGAAGTGCCTTACTCACACCCAACGCAATATTTTGGGCTAACGAGCTACCTAAATACTGGAATCATGAGCAAAAACAAAACTTGCAAATCCCTTCCTGGATACAGAATCTGGGAAATGTTTTAATTAATCTTTCCCTGCTGCACCATTCAAGCTTGAAGCTCAAATAAATCAGCTAGCACTTTCTCTAGAAGCAGTAGCAAACGACACAGCACAAGGGTTTGAACTCATTAACCAAGAAGCCAAACAAAATAGAGAGATGACCTTAGAAAACCGCTTGGCCTTAGATTACTTGCTAGCTGAACAAGGGGGCGGATGTGCCCTCATTAAGGGAGGACCCTGCTGTACATACATCTCCGATAATTCTAGAAATCTAACCAGTATTATTAAAAGCATCAGAAAAACTGCCAAAGAAGTAAATAATCTCCGCAGCTGGTCCTTATGGGAATAGACCACGGCTAATTTAAGCTCATGGGGGCAAAAATTATGACAATGGGTATTGTGAGGAGTGGGAATTCTTTGTGTACTTATTATTGTTATCCAATTATTCAAAGTATTAGTTACCAAGTTGTGTGTAACCAGTACTCAAGCTCTTAGTTTTCGACAATGCCAGCTTATGTATCTAGAAATGCGAAATAATGACCAAGGTTCTGGTCAGCGCGCCACCCAGTACCGCGAGGTTGTCCCAAGAGTCCCTTCGTGGTTCTCTAGGGACAAGGGGGGGACTGTTAGGCCACAGAAAATTGGGCCTAGGGTGGTTATGCTAAGACAGACCAAGAAAAGTCCAGCAAAGAGTTCTGGGTAGTCCCTGAACAAACTTTGAGACATGAGTGAGCAAGGGCATGAGATAAGCGACCAGCTGCATCTTTGTACTTGCTGAGCTGAACTGCTTGCTTAAAGAACTGATAAGAAAACTCCCCGTCTCCTCGTTGGCTGGTACTCGCCTTCTGTCTTAATAAGAAAGTTGCTGATGTATCAAGGCCACCTTGTACAGCTGGCAAGGTCTGCACCCATGCTAGAAGTGTCTAACTGACAAAGGGGGGGGGGTTGCTTGAGTAAATAGTCGATGACGGAGGGAACTGTCTATATAACCCTGCTTGCTAGAGGAAGGGGGGGAGGGCAGGTTCTTGGTAGAGACCGGCTGCTCTCTATTGTCCTGCCACTATTCAATAAAGAGCTTGTGATTGGATCTTGCTGGTGTTGCCTGGCTCTTTGCGGTCAGACAACGAACTGAAGCCGCCTGGGTTCGAGTCCCCAACAATCCCTTTTCCCCAGTGACCAGGCTGGCCTGGGTCACTCTGCTGCCCCAAGGTGTGGAGCTGGGTGCGACTCCTGCTGCCTCCCTGACCTGCCCCTGCCCCCTGCAGCCCTGAGCGCCCCTCCCCGCTACGAGGCACCAAAACGTTTGGCCCCCGCCTCCTGAGCGCCCCTCTCTGCCCCCGCCCAGGGCGGGTCGGAATCCCCCCAAGTGCCCCAGCCCTGGAGTCGCGGCAGGCAGCGAGCCCACGGGGACGCGCTCGTCAGGGCGGGACCCGGGACCCTCCCCCGGGGCTGGACCGGACCGGGATTGGCCGGACGGGAAGAACCGGATTCCGAGGGGGGCCCCGCCCCGCAGCC